TTAACAAGTGCTAGGAGCCATGTTCAGAGTCGCCATCACTTTATTTTCCTCCTCGCGTTTTCTTGAGACAGTGATCCACTCGAGGGGCAGCAAAGCCCCACAACACATCATTTCAAGATGAAACATACTTACTAGGAAGTCCCCACTAGAGAAAAAAATGACCCTAGCTGCAACTCTAGCATCAATACATGCATACAAGCATCTGTGTGTGTGTGTGTATATATGTATGGATGTCACACCACAGTCATCTAGGCACGTGCATGTATGTTAAAATACATGGGAAGAACCTTACAAACACTCGTGGCTCACATACGAAAAGAGCAAGTTTAGCTTCTCCCACCCCCCCTCACTCCACCCCCCCTCCCTCTCTCCACCCCCTCACTCACACGGTGTAGACTGCGGGGGAAACAGGTGGAAAATGACATCACCAGACCCCTTCCTGTACGGCAGATAGAGCGGCTTGCTGCATAAACAGGTGTGTGGTGGTGGTGGCGGCGGCGCGGCACCCCACATCACCACCATCACGGCGGCTGAACGTGGCGGGTGTCACAACAGGTGTTGGGGAGAGTGATGTTCAGCTTCACGGCTGCGTCTCCGTTCTTGTTGGTGCCCTCGGGGTGGTGCGGGAGGATGGTGCCCCTCGGGGTGGTGCGGGAGGATGGTGCCCCTCGGGGTGGTGCGGGAGGATGGTGCCCCTCGGGGTGGTGCCCTCGGGGTGGTGCGGGAGGATGGTGCCCCTCGGGGTGGTGCCCTCGGGGTGGTGCGGGAGGATGGTGCCCCTCGGGGTGGTGCCCTCGGGGTGGTGCGGGAGGATGTTGCCCCTCGGGGTGGCCCCTCGGGGTGGGATGGTGCCCCTCGGGGTGGTGCCCCTCGGGGGTGGTGCCCTCGGGGTGGGTGCGGGAGGATGGTGCCCCTCGGGGTGGTGCCCTCGGGGTGGTGCGGGAGGATGTTGCCCCTCGGGGTGGTGCGGTAGGATGGTGCCCCTCGGGGTGGTGCCCCTCGGGGTGGTGACCTCGGGGTGGTGCCCTCAGGGTGGTGCGGGAGGATGGTGCCCCTCGGGGTGGTGCCCCTCGGGGTGGTGCCCCTCAGGGTGGGGTTTGTCTGGTAATTAGTGTTATACGTATAATCACTTACACGGTAAGTATCAGGAGGACTGGTTCCAACTCTGCACACACAAATAACTCCAAGACACCAGGAGGCATGGCAGCGAACTGTGCAAAGTAGCTCCGTTGAAAATCTGAGGTGCAGTAGATTCAGAGACAGTTTTATTACCGTGTTCAAAAGGGAACGTGATAAAACCTCCAAAAATGGATACCCGATCAACGTGGCTGTGATGAGCGGCGTCTAACAACCTGGTTGACCAGGCCACCAACAAGGAGGCCTGGTCAGACACACCTGCGGGGATGTAGATCTTTGGAACGTTTGTTGTGGCTTTTAGATTCAGCTACTGGGAACCGAAAGTTCCAAGTAGCACAGGCTATGGTGAGCCCGTAGCAGACTTACTTGGCACAGGAGCGGAGTTGTGACTGTGCGTAGGCTGTAGCTTGGATCATGGAACTTGGGCTGTAACGGGGGGTAGTCTGTAACTGGCTGTATCTTGGTACCATCTCAAGGTAATTAATATTCTGGTGAGAGTGTAGTAGAGAGGCTGGTCATCCCTCGCCAAAGATTAAGCCTCTTTAGTGATGGCAAACGGCCGCCTCGTCTACTCAGGACCCCATTAGTGGCTACGGCAGTCCTCGTCACTACCCGGAAGTGACACCTGGTTCATGGGGTTCTGAGAGTTCTACTCCCCCAAGCCCGGCCCGAGGCCAGGCTTGACTTGTGACAGCAGCCGTCGGGTGCGACTTGCATATATATAAGGCATTCCTTAAGTGTTCTCTATATACCAGTTGCTAAATGAACTGCATGCAATTGTCCAGGCTCGTCCAGGCTGTTAGGGATCCCTGAGGAATCCTGGGGACCTCTGAGCAACCCTGGGGGGGGGGGGGAGGAACCTCTTTGAGGAATCCTGGGAGAAGACCAGTTCTTTCTTTTTGGGTATGTATTTTATCTATAAACTTTCTTAAACTACTGTACATAAATAGCTTTATAAAAAAAGTGACCCCCAGTATGAAATCCTTAATTGGCTTGTTTAAAGACTCCCATAGTTAAACGCTAGTGACGTTACTCCTGGTCACCCATCCAGTCGGTGGTCGGACCAATGAATACGTAGCGTGTGGGGCCGAGCGAGGCACTCTCCATTGATCAAGGAAACTGTTCTGACCCTAAAAGTACAAGAGCCAGACAACCTCGTGTGGACATGGAGCTAAATCGTACACGGGTAATCCACAGATTAATCATTTTTACGAGGATGTCTAGGGTAAATACTGGTTCAGTAACACGGTTGTTGATTTGTGGAACCAGTTACCGCGTAACGTGGTGGTGGGGTCCCTCGATTGTTTCAAGCGTGGGTTGGACATGTATATGAGTGGGATTCAACTCTTTTTAACCCTGTCGTAGCTCAGTCGATTAAGGCAGTGTCCGGGATGCTCCCGGACGCAGGTTCGAATCCTCGTCACGGCCCTTGTGGATTTGTTCTCATGAGTGGGATTGCGTTGGTTATAAATAGGAGCTGCCTCGTATGGGCCAAAAGGCCTGCATTTACCTTCATTCTTATTACACACAGAAATCACAATAGGGTGATGAATCAAATGAACAAATCCACAAGGGCTAAAGTGTCGTAGCTCAGTCGATAAAGGCAGCGTCTGGGATGATCTCGGACGTAGGTTCGAATCCTCGTCACGGCCCTTGTGGATTTTTCTTCATGTTCTTGTTGAACAATACCACGAGATGCTAGAGTGAGAAAATTTGAGTAAAGAAGTGTACACATACTGCAGCTGTAGTCATTACAGATAACGTGTAATATAATCCTTCATAGACGACAGAGGGAACTAATGTACTGGTGGCATGTAAATCTTCCTTAGGTACCCCAGGGTAAACGTGTGATGTTTAGAGAAGAGTAACTGAACCTCTCGCTCTATGAGACGGGGTGGAGAGGAATTTAAATTAGTTGTGAAACTCTGATAATAACCGAATATAGTGTGAATCAAACGTTTGGCACCTGGATGTAGTCGTCATTGTAAACGTTCAATGAACTATCACAACAACAACAGTATAATCGTTGGTAGCGACGCTGCTGTCAGATGGCATCATCACAACACCACTGTCGACGTGTTACCTGCCACCATCACCACCATGATGCGGGGACCTGGACCGTGATGTGTATCGGTCCTGAGGGACCACTGGACATGGTATGGCCCTCATAAAGGCGTCTCTGGAATGTACTGCGTCAATTAAACAAATCCACAAGAGCCGTGACGAGGATTTGGATGTACTAGACGTGGATTTGTTCATTTGATGTATCACGTTATTGTGATTTGTGTGTGTGTACTGCGTCAATATTCGTGGAGGGAGAGTTCAGACTGTTACCAGTCTGAATCAAAGCATCGGCTTTTGTCACGCGTTTAGTTCATTCTTCACATGGATACCTGTTGATTTAGTTTTACCTCCTTCCGCAGCCTGGCCTGTACTCACCTATTTGTGCTTGCGGGGGTTGAGCTGGCTCTTTGGTCCCGCCTCTCAACTGTCAATCAACTGGTGTACAAGTTCCTGTGCCTATTGGGCTCTATCATATCTACACTTGAAACTGTGTATGGAATCAGCCTCCACCACATCACTTCCTAATGCATTCCATTTGTCAACCACTCTGACACTGAAAAAAATTCTTTCTAATATCTCTGTGGCTCATTTGGGCACTCAGATTCCACCTGTGTCCCCTTGTGCGTTTGTCCCTTGTGTTAAATAGCCTGTCTTTATCTACCCTGTCAATTCCTCTGAGAATCTTGTACGTGGTGATCATATCCCCCCTAACTCTTCTGTCTTCTAGCGACGTGAGGTTTAATTCCCGTAGTCTCTCCTCGTAGCTCATACCTCTCAGCCTGGGTAGTGTTGAGTATTTGAGTGTTGATTGCACAATAGACCAGGAGGTTTAAAACTGTTTACAGTTTTACATGTCACATTCACATTAAATCATGTGAATGATTTAATGGATTGTCAGAGTTTACAAGCTGAATAATCTGGTAGTGGCTCAGCCTCGCTAACTTTGTCACACACTTCCATAACTCGGATGGCCATGCTGGTGCTTATTGTCCGAGGAATTTGTCACAACTGCTAAAAAATTATATATATATATATATATATATATATATATATATATATATATATATATATATATATATATATATATATATATATATATATATATATATATATATATATATAATATATAATATATCACACACACACATATTCATATATACACAACATTCGTAATTGTGGAGATTTGATAGCTGGTCCTTGGTAAGGTGTAGACAGTTAAATATATGAAATTTCTTGAGTGATCGTTTTAGATGGGCTAAAGATTTGTTAATGTTAGGATATTCGTAAGTCTTAAGATTTGTTGTGTCCAGTTCCTAAGATTGTTGGACACGACGCTCATTAACAGCACATTAATTGGGTCGGTTTATAGTTCCCTGTTTGTTGTTGCATTAGTAGACAAATTTCGACACCTCTTTCGAAGTTTTTATCATAATTTCTTGTCTGTTTTGCCTTGAGCATTATGATTTTTATATTATATAGTAATTATAATAAATAATATATAAAGATGATAATAATATAACTTATTAATGTTGTTATTTTAGTAAATAATTAGAGAACGAGGGCACTTGATGGCCAATATACTGTATGTTCAGGCCAGTGTTCACGAGACTTATTCACAAGAGTTTTACTGTCAGTGGCTTGCCCTGGCTCCCTGGTGGGTACCCATTACATCCTCGTGTGGCCAAGTCTGCCCTCAAGTTTACACACGGGGGGGGGGGGGAACATGAGTTTACAGGGCTGACTTTTTTTTCTCGATTACCATTTGCGACGCTTGACTAGCTTTCTTTTTTCCTTTCCAGTTGGAGCCCCACAAGAGCGTTGTGAGTGTGGCCAGCGGGGGTCAGGCCAGCCCGGGCGGCCGCTCTCCCGGCCACTCGGCCCCCAAGGAGCCCCAGCCCCAGCAGCGGGACGACGTCAACGGGGTGCTCGAGAACGCCCCCATCTACGTCACCAGCGTCCCCAACCTCACCTCTGAACTCCCTCGCGCCAGGTCGCGGTCCAGGTCGTCGACGCCCAACCGGACGTCGCCAAGTCCGCGGCGCCACCACTCCGCGCGCAGCTCCAGGGACACCCCGCCCTCGCCCCTCACGCCCAGCCCGCGGCGGGAGGCGCCCACGCTCATCAGGAGCCTCGACAGTCCCAGCGTCGACCGCAGCTCGCGCCGCTCCAGCAAGAGGCGAAGCTCGGCCAAGCTGACCAACGGCCACCACGGGGCCGAGGCCGAGATAGAGGCTAACAAGAGCGGGGACGAGCTGGAGCTGACCCACGACCTGAACGACACGCTCGACGACACGGAGGAGATAGACCCGGACGACCTGGTGGAGGCGCAGTGCGACCGCACCGAGAGCGAGGACAAACTGGACTTGGAGGGGACGTGTCTGAGCGAGAGCGGCGACTCGCTCCCCGGCACGCCCGAGAAGGCCTACGGCATCACCCGCTCCGAGTCGAAGCGGTCGTCCCGCGGGAGCAGGCGGGATCGCGGGTCCCCGCGGGAGGTGCTGCTCGACCACGAGCCCCAGCTGGAGGTGCGGGCCAAGACGCCCCTCCACGCCGTCAGCAGCGTTGAGAGTCGCGACAGCACGAGGTACGTGACGGTCACTTCTGACCGGTCTTGTGTGTTTATGCGTGCGGCACTCAACCTCCCTGTGAGTGCCTGCGTGCACCTTCCCCCTATGTGAGTGTTTACGTACACCAAGCTATACATGACTGATCCACACCCTAGTCTGTTATACCCCACGAGTCGTCATAAAGGTGAGTGAGTGACAGACAGATATGGTCAGCAGTCATGTGGTCAGCAATGTTGTCAGCAGTGCTGCACTAACATCAGGAAGTCTTCATTTTTTCGATAATCAAACGTGGCTGATGAATAAATACTGAGACAGGTGTTGCTGACAAGCGTTGTTTACCATCTGGTGACTAGATTGATTGATTGATTGATAAAGATTAAGCCACCTAAGAGGTGGCACGGGCATGAATAGCCCGTAAGCTGGTGACTTCTGAGCCCGTTTATCGCGCCCTCCCCCTCGAACCCGTCGGACAGGTGTGACCACCACTCCCGATCTTGTTCACACTTTCTCTCTCTCTGTCTCTGTCTCTGTCTCTGTCTCTCTGTCTCTCTGTCTCTCTGTCTCTCTGTCTCTCTGTCTCTCTGTCTCTCTGTCTCTCTGTCTCTCTGTCTCTCTGTCTCTCTGTCTCTCTGTCTCTCTGTCTCTCTGTCTCTCTGTCTCTCTGTCTCTCTGTCTCTCTGTCTCTCTGTCTCTCTGTCTCTCTGTCTCTCTGTCTCTCTGTCTCTCTGTCTCTCTGTCTCTCTGTCTCTCTGTCTCTCTGTCTCTCTGTCTCTCTGTCTCTCTGTCTCTCTGTCTCTCTGTCTCTGTCTCTCTGTCTCTCTGTCTCTCTGTCTCTCTGTCTCTCTGTGACACACACACAGACACACACACTCATTGACCGAGATATCCTGGAGTGGGCTCTGCCCGGCCTGGGGACAGGTGTTGATCGCTGCGCCTGTCACTACTCTTGACTCACAGCACCTGGAGTCATAAAGCAGTTACGCAAGTTCTCACACACCTGTATATCTTGTCTCAAGCTTTGCTGGTTGTGTTTACATTTATTACACAGTTTACGCGCACCGAAACTTTGTTTCGGACCTCGTATAAACTGTAATAAATGTAAACACAGCCGCCAAAGCTTGAGAAAAGATGTACAGCTTTGTGAGTACTTGCGTAACTGCTTGATGACTCCAGGTGCTGGCAGCTCCACAGACGAGTACACAGACGTCCGCAGATTTGTGCATGTGACTATATTACGAGTGAGGCGCCTAGCGCACTCGATCGGTACCCAGTGGCCATACTAATTCGTCTTGCCCGGCTGCCTGTGCTCGTTCCTCTCCCCCGCATGGTCAGTGCGGACTTGGGTGAATGGGAAGAGATCATAAACGGAGCTCTGCAACTATCCTGAATTTTACAGGCAAAATTATAATAGGTGGAGCGACGGTAGAAATCTTAATGAGAGAGAATTTTATAGGTTCTTTTAGTGGCTGATTATGTAGAGTCTGTGGTGGTCCTGCGGGCCGCTGCCAAGGAGCTTCATCAGCTTCTATGGTCAGTGTATCATCAGCAAGACCCGGACCTCGGGCCGGTTTTCTTGATTAATGTTTACCGTCCTACGTTACCCTCTCACCGTCCTACGGTGAGGGAGAGGGGGGAGGGAGCGTTCCTTTTTATGATCCGTCTGTCTTACGGGCTATTCATGCCCGTACCACCTTTTTTGGTTGCTTAATCTTCATCAATCAATCCGTCTGTCGTCCGCTTCCGCTCCACTGACCCAACTATCGGTCGTTGGATCAGCGCCTCGACCACGCAAGTGATGAGGACGCCGGAGTGCATCTCTTCTTGAGTAACGACCTCTTGTAAGTGCCACCAGGCGGGGGGGGGGGAGGGGACTGGCCAGGCTGTTTGAGTCTTTAATCAAGTGACTTACGACATCCTGCGTTACGGGCTATTCATGGCCGTGTCACCTCTTGGGTGGCTTAATCTTCATCTCCTCGACGTCCTGCGGGGTTGGCGGAGTGTTGGAGTGGTCGAGGTTACCGTTATCTTACCTTGCGGGGTAAAGGTCGGGGGGTGTGGGGGGGGGGGAGGGGTGGTCGTTTGGCATCACGGGTAAGGAGAGGGAAGAGGGTGAGGGGGGGGGGGTGAGTGGTGATTGGCACAAGTAAACTCTTACGGTGAGAGTCGCCTCCTGTTGTTAAAGATTTAGCTACTCAGGACGAAGTGTCCATGTAGCACGGGCTATGGTGAGCCCGTTAGTCGCCTCCTAATACTGGTTACTTTTGTTTGTCATGGCGCTTGAGATGAACGTTTTTGATACGGGTGTTGCTCGCGCGCCTGCAGGATGGAGCCGTTAGCTCTTGGACCCCGCCTTTCTAACCGTCGGCTGTGTAATGTACAGAATGCCGACCTGTTTTCCTCTTGACTACTACATTTCTCTCTCACTCACACCCCCCCCCCTAAGAAGCAACCCGTAGCAATTGTCGAACTCCCAGGTATCTCTCTACTGCTGGTAGCTATTTGGGGAACAGGTGCATCAGATTAAAGAAAAATCTGTCCATTGGTTTCTGCTTCGACCAGGAATCGAACCCGGTTCCTTAGGACTGTGATCCAAGAGGGCTGTCCACTCAGCTGCGCGCGTGCGTGCGTGGGGGGGGGGGGACAGTGGAGGTGGAACCAGTAACTGATATTGTGTATAATTGGCTAACCTGACGCAGCAGTAAGCATGTAAATGCGACGCTCAATTCTTGCTTTGTTTTGCTTGAACGTGAGCTCCACGTAAACACTAAATGTTAAACCTTAGGCTTGTGACTGGAGAACCATTAAGCTGGCAGTACCACGGGTGACTGGAGAACCATTAAGCTGGCAGTACCACGGGTGACTGGAGAACCATTAAGCTGGCAGTACCACGGGGTGACTGGAGAACCATAAGCTGGCAGTACCCCGGGGTGACTGGAGAACCATAAGCTGGCAGTACCCCGGGGTGACTGGAGGACCATAAGCTGGCAGTACCCCGGGGTGACTGGAGAACCATAAGCTGGCAGTACCACGGGGTGACTGGAGAACCATTAAGCTGGCAGTACCACGGGGTGACTGGAGAACCATTAAGCTGGCAGTACCACGGGGTGACTGGAGAACCATTAAGCTGGCAGTACCACGGGGTGACTGGAGAACCATTAAGCTGGCAGTACCACGGGGTGACTGGAGAACCATTAAGCTGGCAGTACCACGGGGTGACTGGAGAACCATTAAGCTGGCAGTACCCCGGGGTGACTGGAGAACCATTAAGCTGGCAGTACCCCGGGGTGACTGGAGAACCATTAAGCTGGCAGTACCACGGGGTGACTGGAGAACCATAAGCTGGCAGTACCACGGGTGACTGGAGAACCATAAGCTGGCAGTACCACGGGTGACTGGAGAACCATAAGCTGGCAGTACCACGGGGTGACTGGAGAACTATTAAGCTGGCAGTACCACGGGGTGACTGGAGAACTATTAAGCTGGCAGTACCACGGGGTGACTGGAGAACCATTAAGCTGACAGTACCACGGGTGACAGGAGCAGCATGCCAGTCAGTCATTGACAGGTGGGACAGGCATCAGGAGGGGTAGCACTCGCTGGCCCTGATACCGCCACTCGCCGCCTGACGCTTGGGTGGCGCCACTGTCTGATAACGAGACAACATTTAATATCGACACATTTTCCGTCTTATCTCCCCCGTATCGGTTAATACTGATCTCTACTAGGATGAATTCCTAACGTAAATTAATGTTCTAAAAGTCTTGAATATTAAGGCTAACGAATACAAAAATAGACTTGTGGAAGGTTGGTTATTTATTTAATTTTTAATATTAAATAAAAATCGGATGTTTCGTGCATTGTAAAATCCGTATCGAATGTTTTATAAATTTTGTGGCCCTTAGAATCGTAGACATTGTGGGCGTGGCGCTCGTACTTGGTACGGACCTCCATGCACACTTGGGTACGGTACGGGGGCTCCATACACACTTGGGTACGGTACGGGGGCTCCATACACACTTGGGTACGGTACGGGGGCTCCATACACACTTGGGTACGGTACGGGGGCTCCATACACACTTGGGTACGGTACGGGGGCTCCATACACACTTGGGTACGGTACGGGGGCTCCATACACACTTGGGTAAGGTACGGGGGCTCCATACACACTTGGGTACGGTACGGGGGCTCCATACACACATGGGTACGGTACGGGGGCTCCATACACACATGGGTACGGTACGGGGGCTCCATACACACTTGGGTACGGTACGGGGGCTCCATACACACTTGGGTAAGGTACGGGGGCTCCATACACACTTGGGTACGGTACGGGGGCTCCATACACACATGGGTACGGTACGGGGGCTCCATACACACATGGGTACGGTACGGGGGCTCCATACACACATGGGTACGGTACGGGGGCTCCATACACACTTGGGTACGGTACGGGGGCTCCATACACACTTGGGTACGGTACGGGGGCTCCATACACACTTGGGTACGGTACGGGGGCTCCATACACACTTGGGTACGGTACGGGGGCTCCATACACACTTGGGTACGGTACGGGGGCTCCATACACACTTGGGTACGGTACGGGGGCTCCATACACACTTGGGTACGGTACGGGGGCTCCATACACACTTGGGTACGGTACGGGGGCTCCATACACACATGGGTACGGTACGGGGGCTCCATACACACATGGGTACGGTACGGGGGCTCCATACACACTTGGGTACGGTACGGGGGCTCCATACACACTTGGGTACGGTACGGGGGCTCCATACACACTTGGGTACGGTACAGGGGCTCCATACACACTTGGGTACGGTACGGGGGCTCCATACCTATACTGTAGTGTACTTGTTGCTCAAGTATAATACTGTTGTCTATGACGTTAGTGACGGGGGCTTGTTTCTCCCTCACTGTTTTTGTGCATCGTGACTTCCGTTAGCCGTTACCTTAACGGGAGATGGAGGAAGGGAAGAAAGGAAGGAAGGAAGGAGTTAGG